AGAGAGAGAGAGAGAGAGAGAGAGAGAGAGAGAGAGAGAAAGAGAGACCACCAACCAACAACACAGTGAACCCAGTGAAAAGACATAGAAAAAGCCATAATCATAACTTTTCTGTCTTCGCCAGCACACCCTTAGTATCCCACAAAGGACATTTAAATGTAATTTGCTGAGACCCGCTGCAAAAAACTGTCTGTAGCGTGGATGGTTTTCCTTTTTTTCACTGGCACTAAAGGGTGTGCCACTGTGAGGAGACAGCAAACAAAAAGGGAGGGAGAGAAAAAAAGAAGGGGGAGGAGAGAGGGGGGATCCACACCCAAAGTTGTTGCTGTACACTCTCATAGGGAAGTAGTAGTAACTTTTTAAACTTCCATTTCTTGGCAAACGACATTGGATTAGATAAGAGAGACATCTGAGCGATAACATCAACACTGTCAACAATCATTTCGGCACCTCTTTGATATAACTTTAAAATGTGGGTTATTGAGGTCCTGTACAAAAGAAAAAGTCCCACTCACTATGCAAAGTACATCTACACATCCACACTGCACAAAGGTGAAATAACTACACAAATGTAGCTATTCTTATTTGTTATCTCTAAGAAGGATCAAAATCATCTAAAGGCAATAAAGTATATAGCCATGAATGACTTATATGCATCTTAGTAAACTGCACAACTTCAATCTAGTCTGCATTCATGTGGTGGGTGTGTACCCACACCCTCATCTCCTGTCCTGCTCTATTTTAATTAAATATTTATCATGTATGAATGCTTTCACACAAAGTTACTGCCACTCTACATATTTACAGTGAAAACAAATAACACTGTTTAGGCAAGATGCTCCTATGCAAAAACATTCCCTTAGGGGAAAATAAAAAGTCCTTGAAAAACTCTGGAGACAAGTTTTCTAGTCATATAAAACAACTCATAATAATCTTACAGTGATAAACACGCTCACTGCAAGTGCCTGGTGCTATGAACAAGAATGCTGGACAGATAACTGTGACGCCTTTGCAAGTTAGTTATTTAAACTCTGGCCAAGTTGGAACGACTGATTTGTTGTCTTGCAGCAGAGTTGTTAAAGTTCAGAAACCGAAAGAACAGTTTAAAAAAAAACTTTTAACTTCAATTAAAGAAAATAAAAAAAGTGTGCAGCTTTACCTGTGCGCAGCCTTAGCGCCCTAGAAGCCTCACGCCTGCTTGAGCATCCTTGAAAACTTCTCCACTTCTCCTCACTCCAAGAAAAACACTTTCACACTGTCACGCCTTCGCAGTCTGCTAGGACTCTGTCAGTCTTTTTCGATTTCTTGATCAACCAGATTTCAAGGGCGTTTTCTGCCCCCTCTCTCTCCCTCCCTCCACCGTTCTGAGTTGATTTTAACCTCTTTTTTTCTGAGTGGCTGCTAGTCTGGGCTGAGCAGAGTGGTTGGACAGGGAGCTGGGCTGGGCTCCTGGTTAGCAGAGGGAGGGGAATCCAGGGGAGGGGACCCGTGTATGGGGAGTGGTCCTTAGTGTTCATGGGACCACCCACTGCTTCACAAAGAGGGTTGCAATGACATGCAACAGGAAAAGTGAGCTCTGCTTGAAAAAAAGAACTTTCAACACTTAAATGTCAGGTTTTCAAACTCTTGTTATCCGAATGTAATCAGCACTATGTAACTATCAGCACTATTTATCATGATTTTTCTGTTTAAAACAGTTTTTTGCCCACTTCAGTTTTTGTTCTACAGTATAACAATGAAGTACACAGAGAAGAAGAGATGCACTCCACAAAATGGTTATCATGACAGACAATGACATCAACATGTTATTAAAACATTTACACTGCCGCACATAAACTGACACAAAGCTATCATTACCAAAATGGTTCGGGAGGACGGCCTTTAGTTAAACACAAAAGGCAAGGTGTCTATTTACAAGACAGGATTTACAGAAGTCTGTCGCTTTAATGGGGCCCACCCTGTGCTAGTGAACTGCAGTAGCAATATAATTTATATTAAATAATTTTTGCATCTAATTTGGACATTAAAATGTATTCCACAATTTCACTGTGCTTTACACAGGTTGTTGTTGTTTTTAGCTCACTTTCATACGCTGAAAACTGTAGTTGCAGTAGTCATTGCTGTAATTGTCTGTGTGCTGTATGTTGAGTGTGTCACATGAATGTTTATTTTTAGAGTGAAACTGCTAATGTTAAGCTTAAAGTCCTAGCTTAATGTCAGAGTACTTCTTTTACATCCCACTGTGTTAAAAGTACTGCAAAGCCAAACACTGAACGTTATGAATTAAAACCAAAACATTCTAAATGATCATAGTTATGAAATGTTTCAATGTGGTATGCAGACACGCAAAGCGATGGCATGATAGCTTGTTACGAGAGTCACTGGGCGGTTCCTCTGACAAATCATACTGGGATTATGGGTATGGCTGTGTCACCAACAGGCTTATAGATGAGAACATCTGATAAGCCATGACTAACACTATGTTTTAAAAAAAGGTATTCCCATCCATTTTTGTTCCCAGTGTACACCAGCAGCTTTGTTAAATGAACTTAAGTACTCCCCTCAAGGACATGTTTCGAAAAGTGTTTATTTGGGCGTTCCTAACGCTACTAATGCAAGTGTGAAAGCTGTTACTACAGTGTTTAGCAGAGCAGAATTTATAACTTATGTGCTGGTTTCTTGTAGCTCACCACAAGCTAACCTTTACCATCACTTATCCATTATTTTTATTTTTATCCTATTGTATATATAATTTTATTTCATTTCATTCTATTGTATATAGTATTTTATTCTATTCCATTCTATTCTATTATGTACAGTTGTGTACAGTATCTTATTCTTATTGTATTCCAGTGTTCTCTAATTTTATATACAACTATATATAACTTTGCACTGTTCACTTTCTGCTAGACAACACAAATTTCCCACGTGTGAGACTAATAAAGGTTATTTTATCTTATCTTATCTTATTACTCTTGGCTGCTTTTACCATCTAGCATAGCTGTATATAGCTATGGATATTTTGTGCCACATGCTTTTATCAGTAACAGTAATTTTGGAGGGTTGTGGATTTTTTGCCAGTTTTGGCAGCTGGGGACCTCCGTCAGGACCTGGCCGCCACACGGCTACGGTGCCTCCTGCGGGTGTTGGGCCTGCAGGAAGATGGGTCCATGTCCCTTTTTCGGGCTGTGCCCGGCCGGGCCCCATGGACTAAGGCCCGGCCACCAGACGCTCGCCCTCGGGTACCCTCCCCAGGCCTGGCTCCAGGGCAGGGAGGGTGAACTGCTCCCTTTGAATCGCTCTTTGTCTTGTCCCTCACCCAGGACCAATTTGTCATGGGAGACCCTGCCAGGGGGCAAAAGCCCCCAGACAACATAGCCCCTGTGATCCCTGGGACACACAAACCCCTCCACCACGATAAGGTAGCGATTCACGGAGGACAGGAGGCAGGGAGGAGGCCCCAGGGCAGACCCAGGACACGCTGGAGAGATTATATCTCGCCTAGCCTGGGAACACCTTGCTGTTTCCACGGACAAGCTGGAGGAGGTGGCTGGGGAGAGGGAGGTCTGGACTTCTCTGCTTGGGCTGCTGCCCCCGTGACTCCGCCCCAGATAAGCGGAAGAAAATGGATGGATGGGATTTTTTGTTTGGGTTTTTTAGGGGGAGTATATGTGTGCATCCAGTTTTGAAAATAGAATTCATATGTGGGTTGTGGATGCACATGTGTGTTTTAAGTGTACACATGTGCGTCTCCCCTTCTCACAACAGTGTCTAGTGTCTTTGAAATTCCTGCAGTGTCCTTCTCAATATGCCACACCCATACTCAGCGAGATGAAGGCAACATGCAAGGAATAGATTACATACAGAGGAAGTTACTGTGTTGTTTTTGTTGGGAGTGAACCGGGGAGTGGTACTCACACGCTTGTGCTTGTGCGCGCACACACGCATATTTTAATGTTACTACACTAGAAACTTTGAGTCAGGAGATCTCAGATTTTGTTTTGTTGCGAAAACAGGGTGCAGCTCTCCCACAAAAAAGAAGGCCCGCTGTTTGTGCGCAGACGTGTGTAGATGTCTGTAATTGTGAGCACACTGAGATAAAAGTGGAGAAATAACACCAAACATGTGCAAGACATGCAGAGATCCTAAAGAACTGTGTATAAAGTGGGGTAAAGCTTTACTCTTTGGGATGGAACAGTGTTTAAAAATGTTCAGGGGAAGTTTCAAAAAAGTTTTTTTTCAAAAGTTTCAAAAAGAAAAACGTTACTTTAGTGTTTAAAGTATACTGTGTGTATGAGTGCACAACTACTAAAGCAATCATCTAGTGCTTATAGTATTTTCCACAGAATTTAACATTTTACCTTGAACAGAATAAGATTTCACCCACTTTCGAAGTACAGCGCCTATTTGATTCCCTTTCTTGCCAACGGGGTGTGGCCTTTAAAGAACAGTCTTAGCTACCAGAAAATGCTGATTCCAGACAGACAACTCCTGTTATGTGTCTGCTAGCAATCAGGATTACTCCTGTCAAAAACGATGCACTGCTCACAAACTTTTCAGTAGGAGTTAAATGTTTACAGTTATTTAACAACTCATCAGTAAATCATATCATTGGTTATTTTTTCAGATACTCATGACGTTTATCTATAATACAGGTGTTCACATATAAATTTCTTATAAATATATCTGCTTTTATTCTAAATGAACTCACTGCAGCAGGTCAGAGGGAGACAAAGATAAGCAGAGCAGTCAGTTAGCTCTGGGGCAACTCAAATGTGGACTGTTCAAACTGGATAATTATGAAATGTGCTAAATATCTTCCATGCTCTTGCAAAGTCAATGTCCTCTGTGTATCACTGTTTTGTTGCAGATCACTCACTTGAATACAAGGATATGTGGGAATGGGTGTGTTTCCTGGCTCTAGGTGTGTCAGCCAGTGTGAACCAGCGCAAATAGCTTGGCTCAGACGCACGATGAGTCACAGCCCATGACTACAATGAAAACATGGGCAGCTCAGACTGCAGAGAGGAGTAAAATCAGAGGATTAGATTGGGATGGACGGTTGAATAAATGTGTGTGTGCTTGTGTGCGTATGTGTGTGTGTGTCTGCGTGTGATTGTTTGTGTGCGTGTTATGAATAATTTCTCCCGCAGGATAAGGGAAGTCACATGCCACTGGCCTAACTGTAACTTGTGATATGACTGAATAAAAGTAACATAACAACCAGACAAAATAACTTTTAATCTATCAAATTTCTTTCAGCAGCTGTTTGGACCTGCCTATAGGTAAGAAGGTGTGAGTAGAACACCTGATTGTGCAACACAGGCTTAATCATACACAATGGACTGATCTCAATCAATGATTTCCAACCACATATCAGGTTTTTAAACTGAATGAACACATAACTCCAATTTTAGCCAAACTACATTGGCTCCCTGTTAAATATCGCATAGATTTTAAAATTCTTTTGTTCACTTTTAAAATTCTAAATAATTTAGCGCCCGCCTATCTCTCTGAACTACTCCACTTATACAATCCCAACAGAGCACTTAGATCATCCAATCACATGCTCCTTGCACAACCTAGGTCTCGAATGAAGTCGAGAGGAGACCGGGCCTTTGCAACCGTGGCACCCAGACTCTGGAATAACCTCCCTGTACATATTCGTACTGCCGAGTCTATCCAGTCTTTTAAATCACATCTTAAAACGTATCTTTTTACTTTGGCCTTTGATTCTAACTAGTTGGCTGTTTTAGCTTATTGTGTTGTTACCTATTGTTTGTTGTCCTGTTTTATTGTTTGTTTTAATTGTCTCGTGTTTTTACTGACTGTGAAGCACTATGGTCAACACTGTTGTTTTAATATGTGCTATATAAATAAATTTTGATTTGATTTGATTTGAATGGATGGTATAATGGCTTTGAAAGCTGCAAATAAAATGTAGTATACGATGGAAAAAGAGAAAGATTTTATAGTATATCTGTAAAAAATAAATCACAAATATTGAAGGAAACTATGATCTTAGATTCAGACCATGCCAGCAGTGTACTGTAAGTATCTTGTTTGTAGGTATTGAGATGATTTTCAAGATATGATAAATGTCTATTCCAGAGCACATTTAAGAATATAACTCAATGTTTGCTGCTTTTTATTTCTAGAGACATTGTCAAAATGCTTCTGTTATGATTTTTTCAAACTTCTGTTAAATAAGTGGACGAAGATGGATGGATGGATGGATGGATGGATGGATGGAGTATATGGAGTATTCAGTGTAATGACTAACCATCCCTGGCAGTAATCCCAGAAAAAATGAGAAAAAAAGAAATTCAACGCATCTATTTGACGACAAGGTTACTTTCTGTAGTTTTGCTTGCTTGAAAAGTTTGCTCAAAAGTATTTTAAAAGCCTGGTTTGCATTCAGAGAGCTTATCAAAAGCAGGCGGTCAGTACGCAGAAAGTGAGCAAATAGAAGTTCTTTGTAGCTTCATTAGATTTTTTTTACACAATGCAACATTGTCGATATTGTGTTGAGTGTTTTTCCAGCCAATGCTGAAGACAGAGTGAGATAAACATTGTCAAAGAGGCATTGTCAGTACTGGAGAATGTCAAAAGAAATTCACCACAAATTCCACTTGTGTTTTTGGTGAATGAATGCACTATTGTAGAAGATGAGTTCAAAATAACTGCAAAAATAATCAGAACAAACACTGACCTGTCTTATGTTCCTACAGCTGCTGCCAGTTTCTTTTTATTTACTTATTTAGGATGTTTTATCTTTTTCTATGGTTTGATTCTGAAAGCAAATCAAATTGAAGTAAGAACTTCTTTAAGGAAAACACCCACTAAATCTAAAAGAATTGTATTCTATTGCACTGCTAAAGAATAAAAGTTTTTTTAAAAAGTTATTAATATAGGCACCCTCTGCAATTATACCGTGCGCAAAAAATAATTAAGTATAATGACAATATTTTTTAAGTTTAGTTTAATAAAGAGAGATCATGAGAAGGAATTAAACATGATTTATTGATGTATAGAATTAAATTTGAGGTATTTGCCAGTTAGACTCCAATGGCCATCCCAGCTGTGATTTTGATTAGGGCAGGACCCACCAGAGTCTAGACGCTGGTGGTGGAGATGGAGGCATGAATGGAGCCTCAGTGATGAGGGAAAGAGGGTGATGGGGAAAGAGGTGTGTTGCACAAAGGCGTCTGCAAGGAAGAATGATGGATGCGCCGGAAGATTTAAAGCACGCAGAGTGAAAGCTGATTGGCCTGAAGAAGGCCGGCAGAAAGATGATTGGGGTAGACCAGTGATGTCACCGTCACCTTGACTGCCAATACCTGGGAAGCAGTCAGATGTGTGACTACAGATCTTCTTTATTGAATTAATGCATAAGCTTCATTTCAATAAGGAGAGATCATTAGAAGGAACTGAACATGATTTATTGATGTAGAAAATACAATTTGAGGTATTTGACTGTCAGACTTCGATGGCCAATTACAGCAGAACAGAATCCCAGAAGTGATAGGGATTAGGGCAGGATACCCAAAGAAAAGAACGCATTCTTGCCGTGGCAGGAAGATCTGATCTATAGGGAATGGAACATATGAATTTATGAAGCAGCAGAGTAGAAATTGAGCCTGCGACAAGACTCCAGGGTCATCGGGGGCCAGGAGGGTGGAGAGAAATTTTAATAAGGCATGAGGACAGACTAGAGCTAAGACAGGGACGTAGATCCTTTGATTTGGCTCAGAGCTGAGGTACGACAGGAGAGATACAGAGAGTTAGTGATAAGGCTGAGAGCTGGCAAAGGAGACAGGAGAGATTGAAGGGCAGAGAGGAGAGGCTGCCAGCTTAGGGGCACTGGAGGCCAACCTGCAGCAGAAAGATGATAGGAGACAAGAAAGGGTTGCAAAATGCAGGAAAGAGAAGAGCCTGCATTAAGACTCAGAGCCGCTGTTGGCCAATAGAGAGCAGAGAGCCTACAATAAGACTGAGAGTTGCACAGACAGGAGAGAAAAGAGCCTGCATGGAGGCTCGGGCTGGCCAACAGAGAGCAGAGGGCCTGCAAAAGGCTGAAAGTTGCAAGACAGGAAACAGTAAGCCGATAATCACCAACATGTGAACAACAAGAGAGATTTACCTAACCAAAGCTTCCTGGAATAACAGAAAGAGGCTAAGGGTTTTGTTTGTTTGTTTGTTTGTTTGTTTTATTATATAAGGCTCACTATAGTGGACTGAATGAACTTCCGTATAAATGGCTTATGCAGATGTAAAAATCAAAGCTAAACATATCACCCTATTAAGAAAAAAGAAAACAGGCTCCGCCCCCTCACCTGAATTCCACACATAAACTTTGATCAGTTTCATATTACTTGGCATTGAAAAACTTAAACGTCAGCAATTATTGCAAAGACCAAAGCCTGACCTGACCTATCCGGGTCTAGCTTTGCTAAATACAACTCATGACTCTCAGAGATAAAAAAAAAAAAAAAAAAAAAAGACATTTATCTGCACAGTTAGTTTAAGGCATGACCCAACTGAAAATTTTGAAACAAATGGGGGTATGTTGCGAATGCTGAGCAGACACAGTTCATGCTTTAGTAAAGAAAAACCACTGCAGGCGAGAGAATGTCTAACCTGAACACCCCTCTTGCCTCTACAATGGTGGACAGGGTCTGCACCTTTATAACTGTGGCTAGATTTCACTATATGTCCTATCTGTAAGGTTTTGAATAGCAAAGTGACTTGAGCCGAATTTGCCCATTTTTTAGTTGGCTACTCATACAGAACATGTGGACTACTGCCACATGAGCTAAAGAGAGGAATCCTCACCTTCTGCTTACAGGAGTGGGATGCAATATAATGAGAAAACTAACTTGAATGTGTTGGTGCAAGTGCTGCAAACTTAGCTGCGGAGGATTCGCTAGAGTTGCTGCAGATTTAACTCTAGATGAATGTGAATGATCGGGCTGAGTGATTAGACTGGGAATTTTAGCTTCTTACCAAGCTTTGAACTTATGAAATTCCACTAGAATGTGTTTTCAGTATCAGCCAAAGCAAAAAGTTAAATGAGATGTCATGCAAATAACCACAACTGAGAATGAATTAACCATATTTTTTAAAAAGCTGAATACAGTTTCACTTGCCAAACCCGGGCTTGATTACTGCCACACCTGCTGAATCAAGAAATCATTTCAATAGAACCTGTTTGACAACATGAAGTTGGCTAAAAGCTTGAGGGGGGAAAAAAACACCCATCACACCACAAACTAAGGAAACTCGAGAACAGATCACCAAGGGACTGACATCTATCAGTCTGGAAAGGCTTACAAAGCCATTTATTAGGCTTTAAGACTTGAGGGAATCACTGTGAGAGCCATTATGCAGAAATGCAGAAAACTGGGAACATTGATTAACCTTCTCAAGAGGCTGTCCTACCAAAATTACTCAAAGAGCACATCAATGACTTATCCAGAAAGTCACAAAAGAACCGAGTGCTTTATATTCTAAGGTAAAGAGCCTACAAAGAAAACGATTACAAATACAAAGAAAACAGAGAAAAGCCCAACAATCATATGACCCCTTATGAGCAAGTGCTTTGGTGACAGTAGGAAGGAAAACCTCCCTTTTAACAGGAAGAAACCTCTAAGCAGAATTAGGCTCAGGGGGGAGCAGCCATCTGCCGCAACCGGTTGGGGGTGAGGGGAAGACAGGACAAAGTCTTGCTGTGGAAGAGAGACAGAGACTAATAATAACAAATAATTAAATACAGAGAGATGTATAAACACATAGTGAGTGAAAAAGATGACTAAAGAGAAAGCATTCAATGCATCATGGGAATCCCCCAGCAGCCTAGAAGTATTGCAGCGTAACTAAGGGAGGATTCAGGGCCACCTGATCCAGCCATAACTATATGCTTTAGCAAAAGAGGAAAGTTTTAAGCCTAACTTTAAAAGCAATCTCAGAGCGAAGAGTTCTAATGGGGTGATATTGCACCATTAGGTCATTAAGATTAGACGGGGCCTGATTATTTAAGACCTTGCATGTGAGGAGCAGGATTTTGACTTCAATTCTGGATTTAACAGGGAGCCAATGAAGACAGGAGAAATATTTCTTCTCTTTCTAGTCCCGTCAGTACTCTTGCTGCAGCATTTTGGATCCACTCAGGGCTTTTCAGGGAGTTTTTAGGGCATCCTGATAATGACAAATTACAGTAGTCCAGCCTAGAAGTAATACATGCATAAACCAATTTTTCAGAGTCACTGGGAAATGCACGCAAGACAGTTCAGCAGCCTGATTCTTCATCCATAAAAGCTATGCTGTTTGTATTAGCTGCAGTGTGCAGTTTAGCATTGCATTGGTGGGATGGGAGTATATGTTGCTCTAAAACCTGTATGTAACTTTCAGCATTGATGGTGCCTTTTCCAGATGCAAGCTGCCAATTCCATAGGCACTGATGTATCCCCATACCAGCAGAGATGTAGGCTTTTGAGTAGTGATTGACAAGCCAGATGACTGTTTCTCTTCTTTAAGTCGAGAGGATGTGATGTTGATGTTTTCGAAAATACATTTCTAAATTCAGTTCATTTGAGCACAAAACAGTTTTCCACTTTACCTCAGTCCATTTTGAATGAGCTTTGGCTCAGAGAAGGTGGCAATGTTTTAGGATTGCGTTCAATTATGGCTTCTTCTTTGCATGGCAAAGAGCTTTAGCCTGCATTTGTAGGTGGGATAGTGAAATCTTTGCATAGAAAAAAATAACTTTTGGAAGTATTCTTGAGCCAATTCACTGATTTCCATGACAGAATCATGCCTGCTGCTTAAGGGCACGAGGATCACAGGCATCCAGTACTGATTTTCTGCCTTGCCTTGTGCACAACATTTTCTGCTGATCTTATTGTACTGTCATAAATGAGTTTTTCAAACACTTTATGATTTTTGATAAACATTATTCTGAAATTGTTCCAGACTTAGTGGACAGTTTTTTGCATATTGCTGACCCTCTGCCCATCTTTATTTGGGAGAAATTCTGCCTCTCTAAGGTCATCTCACTGACCTTTTACCGATGAACCTAGATGCAAAAAAATTCCTCCAGCAGTGCCACTTACCTTTTCAGTCTTTTGTTAACCCCAACCCAACTGAAATAGGGGTCATAAATGAGCTAATACTTTTGGTAACGGTAATGGTCTCAGCTTTCTTTGAATTATTGTGGAAAAAAAATATTTGTTTATGAGATTTGACAGTCATTGCATTCTGTTTTTATTTACATTTCACACAGCATCCCAACATTTTAAGAATTGGGGTTGTATTTGAACTTTGGATATACAGCACAAATTTTCATCTTTTAAGTTTTGTCCTTAGCTGTTAAATGTTCCATGGTAGTGGAGCTGCAGACTGGCTACAGATGTATGTGTCTGTCTGTTACTTGATGAGCAGGTAATATGTAATGCATTTACAGGGCTATTGCTGAGGAAACAGATGCCTGCTACTGTTGAAAATGATACTATGAAAGCAGTACTATGAGGAAACAAAAATGTAAGCAGTGAGTGGGAGCTCATGTTAAACTGTCATAAAGCTAAGGGAGCTGTACCTTCATAATAATGCTCTGCAGTTAGCCTTCACACTGTCATTGTCATGGTAAGAACTTTTACATACAAACCATGTACTTGTAAGGGAATATTTGAATACTGGGATGATGCCTGCTGTTACTTCTGTAAGGACAGTGTACATGGCTTATTCTAATGCTTATATTATTTCCAAACATATCTGCAGTTCAACAAGATTAAAATCACTCTACTGTCTTCAACTGTGTTGAGACTGTTCAAGCCAGGGAAGTTTAAATCCTTGTAATAAAAGTAGAATGTAATTCCTCGCCTTTCAAATTGCTTTGCAAGTTGAGTACTGGGTAAAGTCCTGTTTAAAAACCTATTTAACCAATTTAATTAGCACAGATAATTGAATTTCATCTTGTTGGCAAATTAGCGAACCTATGGAATGAAAACTGATCACCCCATCATTAAGAAGTTTCCCCATAACTGAATTAACACATGCATCATTTGTTACGTCAGATGCAATGTATTACCACGTATGCAATTCTGTGCTACGCTAGCCCCAGAGCGCTGTGGGTAAGTAAACTACAAGCTGCAGCTTCTCAAAACAAAGTGGACCTCAAATAATCATTGAGAGCAGAGTGTATCTATGTGGAGATACACTACAAAGAAATCACTGGCAGCTCATGAATGTGCAGTACTCAAGATAAACTATCTTGCAACACACGGGTCACGCTGCCTGTTATTTGCTATCACCATAGTAACTCGTCTATTGGTAATCTTTTTGGAATTCCCCTCAGTTCCTGCTCTCTCGCATGCACACGCTGACTTACAGGGCACACACGAGCACATGCTGATGACTCAGAATGGCAAGCTGTTCCTTTGGTAGAGAAGAGAATGTCAGGAAAAAAGGGGAATAAGAGACAGATCGAGTTGTGGTTTCCACTGCAAGCTATGAGTCACAAACACGAGGGAGTGAGTCAAAAAAAAGAAAAAAATACTATTCTGGGATGGCTACTATAGCAACATAATAAGCAAGGGGGCAGGTACTTGCAGGGATGTTTCCATAGCAATGCCCTGTGTGTGTGTATGGATAAATATCACATGCCCAAAAAGCAGTTTGTTATTTAGTAAGGAACTCTGCCCCACTTTTTTACACAAAGTATTATAACAGTTTTTAAAGAAGATGATTATCCCCCTCCCGTCTTGTCTTTCTATTTCAGCCTGAACAGACCTTTTTGTCTGCACAGAAGAGTCATCTAAACAGCCCGATGCTTGGAACGCCTTCCGCACGTTTGGTCTTGTTGTCACCACCCTACAGCAGGCTTAAAAAGTTCCCGGAAACCTTTTGGTAAATTTATGTTGTTCAAGTGTTGTAATGCATTGCCCCCAGAAAATTAAGCAAGTGATCTGACACATTACTGATGCACACCTTTGTGAATCTGATTAGATTACTGTGATCATTTTCTTCACAGAGTCTCACAGCTATTCACTATCAACTGTTTTCAGCTATTGATCTCTCACTCCACTTCCATCCGTTGTGCAGGCAGATATGATCCCAAGCTGCACATTCCAGTCATAGCTAAAAATGTTGATGCGCTCACTCACATGAGTATAATGTAAACGGCCAGCAAGTCAGTACATGAAGAACAGATGAGTGAAGTGGGGGGTACCCCTCTGCTAATACAAGTCTAAACGGCTTCTTTCTTAACAGAACGTTTTGAACTGAAGTGAGACAACAGTGGTACCTGTTTTTAGTTCTGCAAAAAATACATTTCTAGCAACGCACATTTGTTTTTTCGTGTGAAGATAGCCTAGGGCTATTTTAAACACTGAACGTTGAGTACACACCCAAACCACAACTGTGGATCTATTATGAAAGTAATATTTCCTAATGCACCGTCCTCTAGCCTTGTAGGGTAGCGAACCAACTATAAAGGTTTATTAAAGAGAACACATTTTTATTTACTTTGAATGTTTTTCCAACATGCAATATTTCTGCCTTAGTAGTCATGGCAGTGCATTATTGTAGTTTGGCTTAGTTTGACAACACGCCCCACCTCCAGATTCTGGTAACATGAGACAGAAGCAACTCTGGGGTTTCATGTCCAAAAGTGCAGGGGCTGACTGTTTTCTCTCCATACCTCTCTCTTGACTTGTGTCACGCACTTTCTTCTCTACTTTCACACCGACAAACTCTGTTGCAGGGCAACACAAACTCACCAACAAACAACTTATTAATAATCTCTTCACGGATGACAATAACTGCTTCAACTTAAAGCTGGTACTTGCAGTGGATGTTTCGTGTTATGTTGTCCGGAGTGCTTCGTCACTACTGCCAAAGATCTAATCTTTTCTTTCCCTGCCTCCTTTAGCTATTTCCCCTCAACATACTCACCTTTGACCTCCCTCATTCCATTCTAGGGCTGCGTTTTAGAGCTATAGAGCTGCAGAGAAATGTGCAGCTCGCACACTTTGACTGCACTAAAGCCATGAAAAGACCCTATCACCAAACAGAAGATCTCAAGGTCACATTTCTAATCTAAGAGGATATAATATGATATACAGCATGTATATATGCATGTGTAACTATCTGTAATGTGTTGCAGTCTTTAAACTTCATATTTTCATTCTTGGCCCTGCCTCAAAAATAGAGGACATTTGACTTGAAGTCGCGCTGGGTGCTGACTAAGAATCCATCTTCCTGACCTCATTTTTATTGCTCAAATTTAGTGTGTGTGTGCGTGTGAGTGTGTTAGAGGAATTTAAAACCCAGCAACATACTAGAGTGTAGGGAAACCCCATAAAAGTCTAAGGGTGGGATTATGTGGTGGCTGAGTGTTGCTTCTATCCGCCCAGAGATGTCCCTCCAACTGTGACAAGAGTGATGTGCTCTTGTTTTGGCCAGCTGGCCTGTGACAATAAGCAGAGCTGTAAATATGTCCAGATTTGTGTAAAATAGACACATGTAAGGCCTTTAACGATAACTTAAAGACACAAAATCTACACACTCATAATCCATAGACATGCTTAACCCACACAACAGGAACGTCAGTGGTAGCTTTCCTTTCATGAAAACTGTGTCAGATTGCTTCACCTTGCTGTTCCAAGCCCTCCACTGACTACCTAACCCTTTTCCAGATGTGTCTCGCAACACCAGATGCTCAGCACATGCATACCATGCCCAGAGCTCCTACTGCGAGCTGACAGCCACACAGGGACCTTGTGTGGTGAAACAATACATCAGCTCTCTGTGTTCCTCCCTTACAGGGCTCCTCGCTGATCCAACTGCTTTCAAGAATCCCCACCCCTCCTCATGCGAGCACACAGAAGAGAGAGAAAAAAATGTCCAGAAAACGAGGATCAGTAGAGGAAGGAAAAAGTAGTGAGTGTGTGGCCAAGTGAGAAATAAAGACCAGGGGGAGGAAGGTTGGCAGGACTGGAAGAGAAAATGTTGCTCTTTGGCATAAGACAGCTCATTGTTCTCGTGGCTTGCTTCAGTTTAGTTTTTTAACTCTGAGGCTTCTAAATACAAAGCAGGCACAGCATATTGTGTGGACTTGATGCTGCCTCCATCTGGCAGGAAGCTTGCCTCAAAACGATTAAAACTGCATGGGTTCTGCTCAGAGTCATTTCATATTTGACTTACAAAACAGCTTTGGTAACGCCACTCCTTCAGCAATCAAAGGGTTATCCTTCAGCACTTTTGTAACTGCCGCTGTGGTGCGAGTGAAGTCAAAGTTATTTGCTCAAGTTACAGCCCTCTTCCACCGTGATCCACAGGATGAGTGAGTCATGTGTTCAAGGACTTGGGTGCTTGGCTGTTGTGGGAACATTTCCATTTTCTGATTTCCATGAGACTACAGAACAAACTAAAATGGCTTCCCTGATTCCACACCATGGTGGAAGATGGTTGCACCAAAATGATCTTGAATCATTTTCAGTAGGAAAAAAATCACACATCTGACTCACTCGGAGATGAGAGTCCTCTCCTGTGCATCTCCCATGAGTGTGTGGATGAGTGCGTCAGAAAGAAAGTCCCTGCATCCACCCGAGAAGTTATAAAGTTTAATGCGCAACACTTCAGTGATCAAACCACAGTCAAGCGTACTAAATGTGTCACATGTTAAATCAATATGTGCCTGAATAATCTGCATTCATTACACGGGCTCGTCCAGGTGCCCCGTTTCACCTGCAACCGACAATGCTGCGACAAACAAAGAAACGCCGGGCAGCAGGTGTGGGGAAATTTCAACAACAAATGATCAAGTGTGTTCAACAAACTTTCATATGGTTGGGTGTGTCCGATGAAGACAAAAGCTTTGTGCTCACAGTTCAGCGCCAACAGACAAAATTTATTCAAAGCATCTGCCATTACAAAAGAAAGAGTTTAGCTTGGAGTTGGGCATTCAGGCAGACGTTAAAAAAACAAGTAAATTGATGTACCACACAGGAAACTGTGGATTATGGTTATCCCCGTTTTCTTTTCCTCTTTTTTTTTTTTACTCTAGCAATACCAACTTGCAGAAGTAGGTTCTGAAACATGGTATTTCAGCATTGGACTGGGGTGTGGCTCTCTCTACATTTTTATATCAGCCCTGCACGCAAACTTATCATTGTCAAAAAAACCCAAAAAAAAAACCCCCAAAAACAAACAATGATTTTCCACTTACAGACTACATATTTACATGTGCATTTGGAGCTTTAAACAAGTTAAAGTTTAATGTGAAAATCTGCTCTGAACTTCTAAGTCTTAAAGAATTGTTTTACTTTGGAGTCCATGTGCCTTTTCAACCACTGTCAACTCCAAAACTGAAACACGTTTTATTGATGCTTATCAAGTTTAGTGTTTTGTTTTCATGGCGTAAACATGATAACAAAGCACAGATTTTATGTGAATGGCCCTTGCCCTCGTGTATCCAAGAGGAGTTCCTTATAAAGATTTGTTTCAGTCATCTCCTTAGGGAAGCACAGACTACTTCAAAACAAGAACCCATAGTCTAAGGCAGACAACATTCCCATCTTCTCAAACCACAGAGTTCAGCCCAGCCATTTTCTCTACCAGATGTGCTGTATTCAATAGCCTTCAATGTTAAGTCTTTGCCTGCCCTCTACAGGGACTTGAAGAATCTAGTTTTAAGTTGGCTTACCATTTGTATAGTAAACCCACATATGGTTTGCAAGTTAGAAATTTAAAAACGCCCTATACATGTTCCAAGACAGCTAGACATTAATCCTGATGAGTCACAAAATCAGCTGAAGTGCATCACAAGATGCCTGCTGAGCCCAAGGTTAAGTAACTGGATAAAGACAAAATGCAGTATTTTACTGACCTCTTCTGGTTGAATTTTTCATTGCATGTTTCAAAACCTAACCACTGCCTATTAGCATGTGTGGGCACTGTTGTACCATAGACTGCAAGGTCATTTTCTGTTTTTGGTACCATGATTTGAAGTTAAGAAAACCAAAATATTTCTGTTTGCTTATTCTCAAAACAAAACTTAACAGAAATACATTCAGATTGAATTCACACACAATGGACATCAAAGAAAGAGATAGCATTGAGGGAAATGCTTTATTTCGCACGTCAAACAACCAGAAAACCACTTTGAAGGCCACAGAGAAACTTAATTCTTGTCTTCAAATACTGTCATTCCTGCAGGTAAGTAAGCATGTGTGGCTCAATGTCCATTGGTTTTAAGTGTTGGAGAGCAGAAGCGCAGAGTGCTTTTGTTGACTATCAGTGTCCTCTCACTTGAAGATCTTGCCCTGGTTGAAGGCTTTACCCACATGCTTGAAGTCTCCCTCCCAGGCAAAGTACTCTTTTACCATGGTTTTGCACTCTTCACTGTTTGGATCCAGCTTGCGCCAGTCATATGATTCGTAGTCAATCTGCCAATCTTCAGAGAGCTGGGAAGGAAAGTCACAAATTGAATTCAAGTTAATTACCCTCAGCTTTTAATCCAAAAATATATCATCAACATCACTATCCGATTTTAGATGACACATTCCATCCTACCTATCAAGGCGATAGGTGAACCATAACAGAATGCATTCAAATGCAGACCATGTAGGCTACGGAACACTTTATATGAATGCCAGATCTCAACATTCCTCAAATGTTTTTTTTTTTCCATTTTCACAACAACTGTATACAATAGAGTGGTTTTCCGTGACAACAGCCTAAATACAGCAGTATCAATAATTATAGTTTGAAATTTAAATGTAAGGTTTAGTGTGTGCACATGTCCACTGCACAAAAGCAATGTTTTGCTGCCTAAAATAGACATGACAATCCACAGAGTTCAAAAGTCAGCTTAGGTCAGTAACCAACAAATACCTGCACAACTAAATCTGTCTTTATTCAAGGACAATTGTCTTAAACTGCAATACGGATTGTGGCCACAGCATGAACCAGCCTTTTACTCACTTAACCAGAGATGACTGGGATGAATGTGGTCTTGAGTTTCTCTTCCCCCGTTAGATTAAGACTGCGTGTCATAATGGGACACTGCCTTGCCCAAAAACAGGGGTAATTTAAAAACACTGACTGGAACGTTAATCCTAACAGAGCTGCAATCCATGCACTTCACCTCGACACATGAGGAAATGCCCAAATCAATGTGAGAAACACTGGGGATATTATCAAATCAGAACACTAATCAAAGCACGTTTAAAATCTAATACTTACAGTGAAGGCCAGTTCCTGGCCTCTGAAGACCCAGATGCCAGAGATGCTGCTGTCGTTGTTGGTGCCGAACAAGATGACACTGGCAAAGGCATTCTTTCTGAGTTTGTCCAGGCGCTGGAACATACCTGTGAGGTACAATCAGAGATTTGAGACATTTTGATTTTTATCAACACGTCAAGGACATCTTCTATTTGATCCATATCTAAAGGAACTTCTGTCTCTCTACATGTAGAACAAAAACAAAAAAAAATTGCCTGTGGGGCAATTCTGATCCTGTTTAATGTGACCACAGCATGAACCAGCCTTAAACTCACTTAAAACAGAGATGACTGGGATGAATATGGCTTGCAGTTTCTCTTCCCCTGTCTGATTAAGACTGTGTGTCATGACAGGACACTGCCTTGCCCAATGACAGGGGAATAATTGCTTTTCTCCTAATTGTAGTACAGACCCGTTTCTGAAGTTGATTCAAACATGTCCAAACTCCTTACAAGAACGTCACTGAAGACCTGAAGATGACCAATTTAACATTTGACAAAAAGGTACTTAACACTTATTTTTAAAAAACATATCATGGTTTTAGCAGTGCCAAGCCCGTTTGTCCCAATTTACACATTCTTTGAAAACTGGTGTAATCAGCTTTCCTGAAAAACTGCAGGATTAAATTCTAACCCAGAATCAGTCCAAATGATTTAAATGAGACTAAAACCTAAATCTACACCAGGACTGAGAAAACCAGCAGTACCCACTGCAGTCAACAAGAACACAAGTTAAGATGCATTTAAAATGATCTGTCCTGTGTAGCAAGTCCCAGCACTGTCTCCTCTAATCCCCTCTTTAAGGCTACATGAGAGCCGTCTTAGAAGTCTACAGACTTTCAGAAAAATTCCCATATGCACAGAACTGCCTCTGATCCCAACTTGTTCCTGGGCCATAGGAGCAAACCTAAACAGATGGAGGAAATTCATGCCAGCACATGAAGTAGCAAAGAAAGATGTAAGACCAGGGAAGAAAATAAAGCTTTTTCTGCGTTTGCTTTCCAACCAATAAACAACCATAATAATAAAGTAACTTTAGATACTAATGAGACCAAAGGTGTTTTATAAAATGGCTGCTGCTGAGTCTCACCTGTGATAAGGTTGCAGCTCTTGAAGGTAAGTGTGAGCTCCTCGGGATATTTGTACTGGCTGTGCCAGATTGAGTAGCCCTCACGGTCAAAGTGCTCCCAGAAGTGGGGAATGGCTACGGTCAAGGTGTCCTCGTTGGAATACTTTCTCTTGAACTCATCCATAACAAATGCGCTAAAATGAAAAAAGGAAATGTCACGAGTTATGTGATCTGTGTACATGCAAGGTGAAGAGAACAAGGTGCAGAAATTAGATTGAGATCACTGGAAAAAAATTAATTAATGTAGGAACAGTTACTGAATGCCTACAACCATTTTGTGGGTCCTACAGGACTATAAAAGGACGTTTAAAGCCAGGATTTGCCACTGACAATAACCCGAGCTTATAAATACCCACATGACTCCACCATCTTTACTTCAAAGAGAATCTTTAAATACCATAAAGCCTTGATTATATTCTGTTGCAGACATGGACAGCTGGAGACGACGTGACCAAGTAGTCGTTCCTTTTATACTTCTCCAAGTCCACTGCCTGGGGTATACAAGTAGTTTGCAAATTGTAATGTAAATTTCTCTGCAGACAAGTCTGCACAGTCACCCCCCCCCACCCCCAAAAAAAAAAAAAAATTAATCAGACCTAAGCCAGCTGACACACAGATATACAGTCAACCTTGAAGGGCAACTATGCATCTCAAAGTTACATTCCGTTTGTGGCCACAGCATGAACCAGCCTTTTACTCACTGAATTCAGAGATGACTGGGATGAATGTGGTCTTGATTTTATTTTCCCCTGTTAGATTAAGACTTGGTGCCATTAAATGGGCACAGTCTTGCCAAATGATAGGGGACCATCTTTCCACAGAGTCGAGAGCATAGGAATGTCAAAACTCAACATGTGAAACCACATAACGAGTTTTAGATGATCAACATGCCAAAGACTGCTACAGATGCACAATAGAGAAATAGGCCTTCACCAACTGATTAACACTCTTAAAGGCAGAGAAGCATTTAGGGAAAACTACTGGGGTAAAGGGTCACACCCAACACTTGCAGATTGACTCCACATTATAGATTTTTAATTACCATACAAGGTGTGAGCTTACAGCAAAACAAATTCTGAATGATGAAATGTATACACAAAAGAAAAAAGATCTCTCTACCTCTTTGGCAGGTGTGCAAAGGGGTCCTTGGTTTTAGGCTCTGCAGCCAAAACAGCATCACAGTCATCCATTTCCTCTTCAGGATCAGGCTTCTTCTCTTCCTTTTTCTCTTCCTTCTTCTTCTCTTTCTTCTCCTGGGGCTTGCCAGCCTCCTTTCCTCCCTTCTCTTTCTTGGAAGGAGTCTCTTTCTTGGGCTGCATCTCAGCAAATTTCTTGGCTGGAGGAACAAAACAGTGAAAGTCATGTTCCGTCTTTGGTTTTGTATCTGTTGGAAAGGAGCCTGCCCTCAAATCATTTGCCCAACAATGGCTGATTTTAGCTGTGTTAGTATTGGCGTGAATTAAATCAGATATGCAAACTTTATTTTTTTTCTTAACTTCAAATAGCCTCAAAGACAATGCTGGAGGGGGGGGAGGGGGGTCAGTGTGAAGTATGGCCCGACTCCATTGTGCACCTTAAACTTGGCAGCACGATTGGGTGTAATACTAGATTCTTAAATTGGGTTCTACTCTGAATGCAGCTTTTCCAACTATCATTTAAACAACAATGGTGTGGAGTTTTGCTTTTAAACATTTCAGACACTTAGGCTACGAGTTCATACTGTCTAATATGTATGCCTTCTGATCTAACTGCTAATGACTCACCGTCAAACTGGGCCATCTTTTCACACAGCTTGACCTCTCCCAGGACAGCCTTGAACTGTGGCTGGTTGACACAGGTGACAAACCAGCGGGTCACATTGGGATAGGGCTGACGGAAAGAAGGCTCCAGGACCTACAGGGAACAGTGAGGTGTTAATGGCTTCTGGTGCAACTTCCTCCCCAAATTTCACTACAGAGATGAAGTATTGCCGTTAGGCTCCAAGGTACCGCAAGGTGCAGCCGTCTGTGACAAACCTGTTTGTAGAGCCAGAGCATGGAGCAGGCCACGGTGATGTCTGCAAGGGTGACCCTCTCTCCCACAAGGAAGGTACGGGTGTTCAGGTGTTGGTTCAGCACAGCAAGGAACTTTTTCACATCCTCCTTGGCCTGCTCGGTGGCCTGGACAGTGGAAGAAAAAGAAAGAAAAATGACTGTAAATCTTATTCTCCAGTACCAAGGTGCAACAACAGGGTGCAGTCCTCTAGGAAGCCATTGTTTCAACTAAGAAACACTGAGCTATATACCTGCTTGTTGAACTGCATGATTCCCAGAGTGGGGAAGACCCATGCGCTGGCAGGAGGGATGATCTCTGAGTCAGCGAAGCTCACCCACTGCAGCACTTGGGCTGCCGCCTGAGGAGTGGAACCGCGTAGGGTATCATTGCTCACTACGCACACAAGATTTTAAAAAGGAAAGTTGCTGTTATGGTTTCACAGTCGTTCTGATTTTTAAAAAAAATTATAGTACAACTTCAGCATTTTAAGATTTTCTTAATTATCATACATTGTGCACATCAATGAAATGATACACTAGAGGTAAAACTGTATAGATATAACTAGTAATGTGGTCTGACCCATCTATATGATGATAAACCCTTGAGTCAAGAAATGTCCTGTGAATTTAAATGTTTTGCTGATTGAGTGCTGTATCCCATCACAAATTCTAGACCGAATTAACTGCATCCCTGAGCAATTTTCTAAAACAAGAGTGTAGAATTCAAGCCACTTAATTATTATTAAATGTGAGACTTACAGTAGTGAGCAATGGCATTACTCTCAAACAGACAGAAGCCGTCATCTCCCTGGTAGGCAGGTACCTACAAATGACACAACTACTCATTTGAACACATTCAATGTGGTTTTAAGTCAGAGAACAAAGCGGTGCATGTGCAGATCTGTTAGCTACGAAACATAAAAGGGTGTGTTGTCAAACTGGTTAAATCCCAGCTCATAAGTTGCATTTGACAAATAACGAGTCAACCTTATTCGTGTGGGAAGGAAAAAAAGAGAGGCTCTAAAAGCAAAGCAAAAATGCATATTTAAGGGAATTGATACATTGAATTGATTAAGCCAGCTGTACTTACCTTGCCCAGAGGGAAGTTGTTGAGGAAGGCAGGAGTACGGTTCGTCTGCCCGAAGGTGAAGGCAGGGGCACTCGTGGCAACTTTGAGGCGAGCACCACTGTACTGGGCTGCAATCTGGGCCTTAAAGGCCCGCCAGTTCTCTGGGTACGTGTACAGAGTCTGAAAGGACAGAAGACAACTGTTTTTAAAAGCAAACTGCATATATATATATGCACCACACCTTTTCAAGCTGGATGTCTAACCATTTGATTGGCTTATGAATGACTTTCAGGAAATAGCCTGGTGTTTTACTAATGTATATACTGAGTCCTGAACAGGCTTCTGTCGGTTTTCTAATTCTACTTAAGGCATGTAAACTTGGATAAAATTGGTAAGCAATCTATCAAACCCGTTAAGAGGCAGCATTTAATTTGTTTTATGGTCACAAATAAAAGGATCCCATCCAAATTAAAAGGGTGGACCAATTAAAATCTGTCTGATTAGGCTATGGAGCATGATGAAGCTGAAATACATGCTGACTTGCACGGAATACCGCATTTCTGTTAATCAGTTATCTAAAATAAATAATTTTCACGTGGCTTAAAACGCTCTCTTGACAAATAAGCTGTTCCTTAACACCGAGTCGCTTAACTTCGGAGAATAAATTTAAATATACGGCAGAATTGAGACTAAATAAACAACTGTAGCGATACCCTCAGGTAAAAAAAAAAAGAGGGAAAAAAAGCGTATGATGTGAGGAGGAGGTTTTCAAAGTGATGAATAGGTAAGGTAACGTGGCACAACCCTGAGCTAAGAGAGCGGAGTCTTCCACTTACAATGCATCGTTAGCAACAGCTAACCTGTGTTAGGAGGAATACTGAATGGTATTGTTTACAAATATCCCCTATAAAAGCTAGAAAACACTCAGAAAGCAATGTCTGTGTGAAAAGCTACTCAGTAAGAGGGCAGATGCATCTGATTTTTAGCGGATTGCAGCAGGAAACCTAAAAGTAAGCACTATAGCTGGCCATCTCTCCATCTTACTCACCCCTGCCGCCATCTTCAGGACGAGAGAAAGAAAGAACGACGGCGCGCTTCACTGACGTATTTACGGCCAAATGACGTGCGCGTTCTTGAAATATCCGCGTTCACAATTCTTCTGAACGGCATGGATAAAGCTGCCTGGTCACATTTCAAAACATCCAAACATGACTTAAAAACTTAGTACCTTCACAAATAGCATTTGTAGCTAACACAGGGAGATAAACATACACTGACACAAGGATGTAAGAACAAATTAAATATTTTATTACAGCAAAAGCAAAAAATATGTAGGAATGATGAGCATTCAAAATAACAAACACTACTAATATGGATACTTCTATTCGTTAGCAATTTTTAAGTAAAATTGTTAACACTCTTACAACATTTCCATTAAAAAAAAAAGTAGGCTGTACAGCATAATAACATGATGTGCCTATAGGGCTTGGCCCCCATCTCTATACCAGAACAGAAGAAAAATAGTAATTTGTCTGTCTTAATAGTAATTAAGACAGACAAACTGAGATACAACGCAATAAAGTCCCACTGTTTCTTGCTCCTCAGAAGAAAATCAGCTCACAAGACCTGAAACAAAATACAGATGGTAAGTTTAAAAAACAAACAAAAACAAAAAAAAACATACACCATTATTTTTGTTTGTTCTTGTTGATTTTATGTGCAAATAATCATAACCAAACTAAACCAACAACAACAAAAAAAGCAGATCTATGACCCATCTGACAATGTACTGTGGTCTAATAACTTACCCAGATAATCATCCATGAGAGATCCAATGGCAAACTGAAAAACAAGCAAAACTTTGTTTTAATATAGTTTTAAGTATAAAAGATTGATGAAGGCACAATGGCATCCCACATTGATTTGTTGAGCTGAGATTTTTCACTGTTACCGTCTTGGCGTCTGTAAACTGGATGTGACAAGTGATCTGACTGTTGAACCATACACTTTAATAAGTATGCCCTGAACAAAGACAGTTGTAGCGCACTGGCAGTTTGCAGACAGCACATCGACTGGCAAAGAATGTCTGCTGTTGATGGGGACAGAGTAAAAAGTGGGTGGTGCAACCCGTCTATGGGCAACTCTTGCCTGCGATGTTGATCAGCCAGTTGGACCAAATTAACATACGAGAGGAAGTGAAACAGAGTTCTAGAGACAATGAAAAAGTGTCCACTGCAGCTACAGTCTGTACTTTTAATGCTGTACTTTTTAATCTTTGACATTTTGAGGGGTTTTTTCCACACTTCTCCTATTCGTGGAGAACTCTGTGGTCGCTCTCTTCCCCATTTTGGCCCACTTGTCAACCAATCGGCATTCAACCAACACACAGCGTTATCCACATCCTGCAACATGCAGTTGGTATGCTTGTCTGTAATGAAATACATACACAAAAAGGCGCAATAGTGCCATCAACTACACACTACACTGGCCCTGATAAACCAGGTGTGATTTTTGTAACCTGGCACACGTGGCATAGCCTGTGCAGCCCAGGTTGAAGACACAAGGGTAAAAGCAGGTCAGTCCTTACCACCATTTTAATAATATATTAGTGCAGGAGTTCAGAGATTCCCCAATTACAGAGAGGAAGATGCTGGAAGAGTTGGAAAAAAGCAAAACTTTCTGGAGAAAACTCAGCGATCGCTTTGCTTTGTGTTTCGATTTTTCCCCGTTTCCACACCAGCACTGATGTTGAGGTGAGACATATAATTCAGGAGAAGAGCCACAACCCAGTCATAAACTATGAGTTGGTTGTGGCACAATCAATCCTGTGACCAAAACTAGGTGTAAGGCACTTCTGCACTGCCTTAACTTTTCAGAGCCTGTAACTATGAACATCTTTTATATTTATAGGAAATTAACTCCTACTTAAGTTTATATGAAGTACTTAACTAAAGAAGAGTAACAAACTTGGGGTGAAGTAGTTTTTCAAAAAATAAGAACAAACACTTACAATGTCATTCTTATCCACTCTGGTTCCCACAATCTTCAGCCGGATCTCATCATCTTGCTGGATTACAATGTCCTTAAAAATAAGAGGAAGGAACATCCTTAAATGCAAAACTGACACTTGTGTTTTAACCTTTATCTTCACTATAATGTGAACACATGTCTGAAAACTTTTTTTTAAACACATAATAATGATAACTTTAACTTTATTTTAAAAGCCAATAAAGGCAAAGAAGAGAAATGTATTTTAATACATGTTTCTGTAACACAATTATTGTTTCAACTTAACAATGAAACAATACCTCATCAACTGTCTTATAACAGGGTGGATTAGAATTGGGGTCAAAGTCCATTTCTATGGGGATCGACTGCAAAAGAAATGTATCATGAGATTGAATTACAAACAACATAAATACTGCAAAGTGCACTAAATGACAACTAATTAAACACAATTGTAAATATCTTGCTGACTCACGTGGCGAGAGATGAAGCAGGACATGGGACCTATTTCTGTGAACAATCCGACCTGTAAGAATTACAGACATATTTAGAAACATTTCAAAAGGAAGTGTAAAAAGTAAAGTGTGCATGTTAGTCCCCGTAGGGAAATAGTTCCTCTGCATTTAACCCATTCACCCAGTGAAGCAGTGGGCAGCCACCAATGCAGCGCCCGGGGAGCAGTGTGTAGGGACGGTACCTTGCTCAGGGGTACCTCAGGGTAGCCGTTCAGTGGAGTCGAACCACCGACCTTCCGATCATGGGGCCACCACTCTACCTACTGAGCTATCCCTGCCCTAGGAAGACAGAACACTATTCTTTTCCAGCAATTCATGACTTCCTTCTTAAAACTGGACACATTTAGTTTAACAGTTTGGCTGTTAAAATGATTCAGAAAATTCAGAAGTACAATTTTTTTTATATTTCTACATCTTATAGGATGGATGGAATACACGGTGTAAAAAAGTAACTTTTCGTGCCACTATTGCATTTGCAATGTTTTACATCGCTGTGGAGGAATTTTGGCCCAATTCTCTTTCCGGAATTATTTTGAATTTAGCCACATTAGAGGGTTTTCAATCATGAATGGCCTGTTTAAGGTGATGCCAAAGCATATCAATCTGATTTAAGTCCAGACTTTCACTATGCCACTCCAAAACTTTCATTTTAGTTTTTTAACCATCCAGAGGTGTACTTGTTTTGACTCATTGTCCTACTGCATAACCCAAGTCACAGAGAGCCTCAATGCACAGACAGCTGAATGCATTTTTCCATTTGTAGTTAAACGCTCTCACTGTTGTTCAGTGGAGTCCCAAAACCTTAGAAATGGCTTTGTAACCCTTCCCAGACTGACATGTGTCAATGACTTTGTTTCTCATCTGTTCTTGAGTTTCTTTAGTGTGTTGCTTTTTGAGATCTTTTAGCCTACATCACTTTGTCAGACCAGTCCTACTTCAATTCAATTCAGTTGATTTTATATATCTAGTGCCACAGTTGCCTCAAGGCACTTTATATTGTAAGGTAAAAAAAACAAACAAACATAGAAATCCCAACAAGTTATATGAGTTCTTGAGTCAACAGATTTGACAGTGATCAGCCCTGGGTGTGGATAGTGAAACTGAACTCAACTTTCCAAAAAAAAAAATTTTAATTCCAAAATGATTAGTCATATTTAATATATGATTTAAAATGTAGCAGGAATTATTTTCCACACAGGGCACATGGATAGCCCCCCCCCCTTAATAAAGGAATTCATTTAAAACTGCATTTTGTATTTAGTCAAGTTAAATATTAACCCTCTCTCTGATACAATTTTTTTTTGATTATCAAAAATGCAAAAGAAAACAAACAAACAAAAAAAAAACTAAGAAATCAGAGAGGGGGCAAATACTTTCCTACAGCATGGTATGAAAACTGTGTTTTAAGACTCTAAACCTGCCCCTCACCTTGTTAACCTGAGTGACCACTGCATCCACAACTTCTCCTTTAAACGGACGGAAGACAATGGCCTTGTATTTGACTGGATAGAGGACAAAACCTCTGCCTGGTTGGATTACGCCAGCACCGATGTTGTCAATGGTGGTAACGGCAATGACGAAGCCATGCCTGCAAGACAGAATTAAACAAATTATTAAAATTGCAAAACAACCTCCATCTGTGACCCAGTTTTCCAGAAGCCACTGGGCAAATTTCAGCTTCTTTTTAGCCTTTGTTTTAAACTATTTTTAAGTCAAACACAAGAGTCACTCACTTGCCAGTGCAGGTCCCCTCGACCTCTGTGAAGAGCTTCTGCTTCACGGTGTTCAGCAGATTCGGACCAAAATATCTCGGATGTAGTAAGATTTCGTGCTCCAAAGAAATCTGTGAAAACAAGGCTTTTGTAAATTAGCTTGCCGTGGACAACGTCACTGCTCAAGCTATTCTGCTGCCGTTCAAAAAAAAGAGAAAAAACACTTGCAGCATCTCCACACGACTATAAAAGCGCAACAGTGATAACAGCTTTTAAGGGTATATGATAAAGTTTTACAAAGCTACAGTAGCTACAAGCACGCCAGCCAAACTCGTATCAACGACAGAACCAGACTGCTGTTAGCGATTATATACAGAGAGCAATACAAATACTTACATGGTAAAACATTTCGGTCTGTTTACGTTTAGTCCCAACTCAAAAATCGTTTTATTATATTTTCTAAAAGATGTTTTTCGTGTATTGAATGAAAACCAGCCGCTCGTTTGTGCTTAACAAAGTCACTTCCGAGTCAGAGGTCGATGTTGGGAAGTTGTTGCCCTCAGTTCTGTCTCTCAGGAGCGTATCGCTTTTCTTCTCTAATTTTGATAGACACGAAAGTTAAATGTAATAATCACAAGTTAAGTTAAACAATAAATATAATAACAATTTAAATATTTTATCTGCCTTATCTACGCATCGCTTAATTAACTATTTAAACGACCCACAGCAATCAGGCTAACCTTTTCAATCCAGTCACAGACTGACCCCTGTCGGTGAGGAGGACTAGTGCGTGAGGGTGTGGACGTGCAGCAGGCGTGCCTCCATACTGGGTTTTGATTGGTTTGTTTTCCACGAGACTGTTAACGTCGGGGATATAAACGAAGCAAAAACGAGATATTTTGCTAACACGATAGCTGATTAATGGTAAATACTGCTTCAGTTATTGTGTAATGTGACGCACTGTGAAGTCGACTTAAAGCTGGATAGGTAAATATCCCTGCTTAACTTAGCGACATTAGCTCTAACTTTGTGCCTCTTAAGGATTAGTCTGACTTCCTTGAAAACCATTCCGCCTGGATACAGCAGTAGCTGACTGACGATCAGATTAATCTCACACCAGCCTCCAGTTTCTGCTGACTGACATGGCGAGTAACCTCGTCTCGAAGCTGTTCCGCCCTCATCTGACACAGCTTGTAAGTTGTTCCACACTTTTCCACTTTGTAGAAAGTGCACTTTATGGGTGGTTTTACGTGACTGCGCTGTCCTCCCTGCAGGTGTCTCTCCGTTCAGGTTGCTTGTTACGGGGGAAGGGGGAGGTGGCAGCAGCGATGTGTACCAGATGTTCCTCCAGTGGCTCTCCACCAGAGAAAATCAGCCGATACCCAATTCCTTACAAGAAAGATCTGCCGTATGATATAGTGGAGCTTATGGAAGAAGTGGAATCAAAGGTTTACATATGAGGCGTTCAAGGTCTTTAAGTCTGCTGAACTTGATTCTGCTCCCCATTAAACCTGTGTTTCCTTACAGGGAGGATTTTTGCCCAATGTCTTCAAAGTTCTGTCTCACAGACCAGCAGAGTTCAGAGCCTTCTTTGCATACTACAACGAACTGATGAACAAGGACACAGGTGTGCTTGTGTGCTGTATGTCTTTTTTCTAGCAGCAGGTGCGTTTTTTTTTGTCTGAGATTCAATGGAATTGACAAACTCTGGGAAACGTTAGGCCCCAGAAGGTGCGCACACACTTCAGTAATGGCCCCACTCTTCCCACTGAGAAACACAAAACCCAGACTGACATGAACCATGGTGACACAACTTGCTTTTTTTAGTAGTTTCAGTAGGGATGAGAAAGTCTTTGGAGTTTATTGTCGTGTGTGTGTGTGTGTGACTGTGTGTATGTGTGTGACAGACAGTACAGTGGTGTGGTGGTTAGCACTGTCGCCTCACAGCAGGGAGGTCCAGGGCCTTTCTGTGTGGCGTTTGGATGTTCTCTCTGGGCACTCGGGCTTCAAAGACACCCTTTAGTGAGGTTAGGTTAATTGGTGAGTCTAAATTGGCCAAAGTGTGGATGGATGGATGTTAGATTTGGATGTTGAATTGTTCCTTTCAGAAAAGCATTTCTAAAATTCAAAACCTGCATCCCTTGCAAAACTACACATGTAAATCCTGTCACATTCCAGGATATCTATAGCACTCTGGGTTCAATGAATCCATAAGCCATTATTTGTCTGTGTGCACCAGCCTTGCTTTTTAAAAGTAAGGAGAGCTGCAGATTTGGTATGTATTTTTAGCAGCTACCTTTAAGAAGAATGCATCATATTGCCTAGTATGAATGAATACTAGGCAATACGTAAAATGAGCTCTTTTCATACTTGCGTGCACTGCGGGGGATTGATGATGAAATCACAACTGCAATATATTTGTGGAGTATTCCTGTAACAGGGGTTGTTTTGTTTTTCTTGACTTAAAATTCAGTGGTGTTTATTTTCATTTCAGATCATTTTGGTAATGTGTAACCTGTGAGTCACTGTTTGTCCAAAACAAATGTGTTCAGTAGCTTAGAAATGGGACAGCGCCAGCAAATTATCTTTCACAGAAAGTAAAAAATTCTCTTTTTAATGAGAAGCCTTCAAGATGGGACGTAAACTTCATGCAATGTGGGAAATGGCTCGTTCCAGCACTAATATTAACAATCGCTGCCATTTGCACTAGTTGGCCATTTTGTTGCTACAATGTAAATTAACTTTTCCGGGTGTAGGTATATTTGTATTAGCCTTTTGTCTGCAAGTCTGTACATCTAAAATAAAATCTGTCCTGAACAATGCACCACAGCTTGAGAGTCTAGCAGATTGGCTTTAATTCTAAACAGAGTTGAGATTGCGCCTAAGATTGTTCAGGTGTACTGATTTATTGGTAAAACTTTAGCTAGATCAGGTTCACTTCAGTCTTTTAGTACAGGACAGGATTGTGATTTGAACAGGTTTGTGAGAAGTGTTTGCACCTTTTCCTTAAATGCAGTAAATGTAATTTTGACTCAGTATTTTTCCAATGGTTATAAATGTCAATTGTTTTGCAGGTAGATTAACCAAGGCAGACCGTGAGCTGATTGTAGTGGCAACCAGTATCTACAACAGGTGTCTGTACTGTGTGGTATCCCACGGTGCTCTGCATCGCATCTACTCAAAGAACCCCACACTTTGTGATCAGGTATAATGTTAAATCCGGTAATTATAACAAAGGTGTTTTAACCCCTTAGCAGTCCTACAAATTTTGCCTATAAGGGTTAGCAGTCGGACGTACCGTGGGCGGTACGTCCGACTGCTAAGGGGTTAAGGTATTTTGTATATACACTCATTATGTGATGTGCAAAATTAAAACTAGGCTGTCTGTCACATCTTTTTTACTTTCTAATACAGATGCTGTTTGCATGTGACCTTCCTGTTTGGTTTTTCTTAATTGCCATAAATCAGCAAAACGCACTTGTAGGTCTAATTGGTGCTCTGTTTTCTCCAGGTCATTGTGAACTATGAAAATGCTGACCTGGCCCCTCGGGAGCGTGCCATGCTGGACTTTGCCATGGCTGTGTGTCGCTGCGACACCATCACAGAGCAGCACTTTAAATCTCTGGAGGAAGCGGGCTTTGACCGCGAGGACGCCTGGGACATAGCCGCCATTGCTGCTTTCTTTGCCATGTCTAACAGGCTCGCCCATCTCACAGACATGAGGCCAAACCTGGAATTTTTTAACCTGGGCCGCATACCACGGGACAAGAGCAAGGACAAGGCGGGCGATGGCAACTGAGAAAGGGAGATGTTACAGATTGTCTTAGGTCAAATGCTGTATGTGATGTTAAACTGTTCATGGTGAAGGAAATTCTCTTATATTGTATCAACATATGACTGTTGATATTTGAAGTGTGGTTTAATGAGGTGTGATAGCCTGTTCTACAGGTGTACACGCTAAAGGCAAATAAATTGACACTGAAATTAGTCTGAAGGTCAGGAGTGTAGACTTGATTTAAGTAGCTTGACTGAGCCTGTTTGTTTAGTTTTTTGTTGTGCCAAAATCAAGTTGTGCAGGCATCTAAATGGGGCTTGTAGGAATAGTTATGTTAAGATTTATTCCGATTCGCTCATGACTCACTAAGTTGTGGTTAATAGAGAGGTTAAGAAGTAGCCCTTTGTTTTGTTTTGTTTTTCTGCAGTTAACACATCTCTTATCTTTGAATCTGACCAGTGTGTAAAGTGAGAAAGCTTATTTGGCTCAGGCCTTAATAGCCTCCACTGCCATGTAATTGTTTTTTGCAATGTACACGAAAAGCATACCAGGATACACGAAGACATGCATTTCTGAAGTATTGGGTAACTTTGAACCAATTTCGAGTCCCTTCCTATGGCAAAAAATGTCATGAAACTGACTTTTCTGTATGTTACTGACCTTGTTTTAAAGTTTAAATGGAAAATTGCATTTCCTCAGTTGCACACTGTCTGTGGGATGAAGTTCTTGATTTTATGTGAGCTTGTATTTTCAATAATTTCTGTGTACAAGTGAAAGATGGGGCTTTACTTGCAGATGTCTCTCCTTTGTCGCTGTCAACAGAAATTACATAGTCTTGGAAAAGTGCTTCCTATCACCACCAGATGGCGCTGCATTCATGAACCTATTGGAATTTACACTGTCTTCTATATGTAACCTCTGACTCATTAATAATTCCATATGTGAAAAATGGGCAAATAAAACCTACAAAGAAGAGCTTTAGATAAAGCTTAAAAAATGTTGCTGAAAATTATCTCCAAGTTGTTGTTTTTTTTTTGTTGTGTTTTTAAATGCTGCAATCATGCTATCATTTTTCCTGGTGTAACTCTTATCTGTTGGCGTGTCTCACTTCTGTATAGTACCCAGCATTTCCTCTGAAAGTTGATCACTTTTGATAGCAGAAAGTAAAGTCAAACATGCATCACCTGAAGATTTGCTTTTTTTCCCCCCCTCTCCTCATGCACTAAAAACTTCCCTGCTCACTAGACTATTTAGGTGATATTCACACCAGGGGACATGAGATTGTGTGTGTGTGTGTGTGAAGCTTACAGGAAAGAATTACATATATAGTTTCTGTATCATAAACACCCTGAAAGTTAACCAGAGCAGATCCTTATTGTAGCATAATGGGATTATGTATATACACATTTAAATTTAATCCCTGTGCCAGAAGATGATGTGTCATTAAACCATTTGAAACAGAATCACCTGATGTTAGCAAAGGTCATTTCACAGATAGTTTTGTCCTTGTGTCTGTCCTGGGAGACCTATTGATTTGATAAAGTGTCATATGGCTCATGTGCTATTACAGGTTCACATTAAGCACCAACCTTTATGACCCCCATGTGTCCTATGACTGTTAAAATGAGAAAACAGTCTCTTGACAAGACAAGTAATGTGAGGCTGCCCTGGACCATTCATGTTGTAACTAGAATAGAATAAGATACGATTTTAAATGTGCGCTTTGTTGAGCTTGAGCACATAAAGATAAGAAAAGCCTTCAAAATGAAAGCTTTAACCATTTCCTGTTGTAGTCTGTACTTTGGTGGAGGAATCAAGGTTTTATATGGCAGCTGTATGGGGAGTCTGCAGGCCTGCCACAGTGTCTTTATTCTCCAGAGGGAGATAAAACAAAGCACGACACACATATCAAATGGGGTATGATAAAGAGCAGAAGGAAAAAGAAAATTGAGGTTGGGGGTTATGTGGAAACAAAGGTGGAAAAAAGCAAAGTAGAAAACATTTATGAAACATAACTTAGATGTTTCCAGACGGGGTCCAAAGGGTCCAGATTTACAGCATGAGGCACTCGAGACCACTTAGGCAATTACATAAATGCAGACAAACTGTGAATCAAACAGATATTAGACATTGCATTGATCATAATTTGCACAGTAAGGTTTTCTTGGTGGGAAATTGTATCTCTCCACTTACTTTAGGCATATTTGATAAATTCTTCAATATATTCCCATATTGAAACCAAATAATGTGAAATTATTTTCCCGTGCTGACAGATTCCTCTTATTCATTTGTCATTTTTTCATTTCATGTTAATCTGTCAACCTTTTGAGAACAATCTCCAGATTTTACTGCGTTATTACTGCGTCATCCAACATGGCGAGTGGAAAGATGAGAGGGGAAGTTATGGAAGAAGTTGCTTCTCATCTTTTATTCCTCCACTGGGTGTTCAGGCAGACTTGTCTGCTTTTATTTAACACAACTTTCAATGTTGTCAGACAGCTTCTCCAATGTTTCGCACTTCTTGGAGAAAAGGAAGAAAAGGGGCGAAAAAATATAAAGTAGGACAAATTAATTGAATATTTAAATAGATTTTCTTTTGCATCCAAATTGTGTATTCAGCATTTGCTTTTTTTGTTGCTGTGGTCTTGTTACGCTGCTCTGGTACTCTGTGTGCAGTTCACTTGTAAATTCAAACTCCAAGGCAGCTCAAAACCTTTCTGTCCTGTCTTCAACGCTCTAAAACTGAGGATAGGAATGAGGTTTACGCTTTTCCTTTAAGCGAGATGCTATATCTCTACATAAGGGACACATTTGCCATTTGCAGTGCAGTGAACAGAATGAAGACAGGCACAAGAGCTCATTTCTAGCAAGTGAGCACATATGGGACATTAGCAAATGGAGAGACACAAGGATGAGACCATTATCGTTCCCGTTAAGAACGTGTCGGCTACTGTTAAGAATACATGTGAGCATGCATGTGTGCAGGATTGCATATGCACATACTTTGTCAAGCAAAGTGTGTGTCTGCTTGTGTGTAGAGTAAGGCTGTTCTGTAAGCCTTTGCAGCTGGGGTCATTTGCATGAATTTGGCTTGATGGAATTTCACATTAACTGGCTACTTGCCCCCTTATCTGGGAGTCTAATCCCTACAGACTCATCATGCAAACCCATCACACAGCTGCTAAACAGAGTGGAGGGAAGTAGCAAGTAGAAATGGCTGTGGTGGAAAAACAGAGCATATATTTGTTACAGCCCTTGATGGCTTGACATTTCCTCTTTTTGTGTGGCTAACCTTTTTGAGTCCTTATGTGCAAACTTGTGTTAGCAAGATCCTGACCTGGGCTGGATTCATCATCCTTTCTTCCTCACTCCACCTGCCATTGTAACAGTGCCCCAGTCCAATTCCTGACACCTGGTTAATAGTGCATCTAGTCTGTCCATTGAGACGGCTGTTATTTAGTGTGAACAGTTGGCTACTGTGTCTGTTACTAGCTTCCCTGCACTCATCGCCTACAAGTAAGGAGATATTATTGTTTACTGATATTATGAATAACCAAAGACTGCAAATAAATTATGGATGTACCTACATTTTGGTTTCATCAGAAGCAGATATCATCCCTAAGGACAATGTATGCTCATGTGATATTGGCTTTTCTAGCTCACTGTATCAACACCCTAAAGTATACCCTGCTTTCAGGGCTGTGCAGAGATGTTTGAAGGGGCGGGTGCTCCAGTTAAAAAGGGGCAGATAGAACCGGGCTGAATAACAACAACCCACATTCATCAGGAATCTAATATGGAATCTCATCATACTACAACTGCGCACCGCCCAGGTGGCAAAAAATGTGCATGCTCTTTGCGAGCTCATTTCCGGCTCATAACCAGTACGCTCTGCCATTAACGGTGAGCATTGGTTAATGGTAGTCATGTGACTGATGCAAACCAGAACCTTTTATTTAGCAAAATTGTGATTAATAGTCAAATGTTATTGTTGAGGGGCACAGGCAGGGCTCCACATACACACACATTAAATAAATAAATAAATAAAAATTTACCTCAAGAAAAGAACACTTGGGGCACCCATCAGGAAAAGGGCAAGTGCTTTTGGTTGTTTAGATTAAGTGCCGGAGCCATTAAGTCTTGGAAGCTGTATATGGACTTGAGTAAGGAGTCCACTTTTAGTTATATTTTTTCCTCGACATGTGTCTCCTAATAGACAAGGGTTGGTTTCACTCACTATGAGCAGAGCCCAGTGTGTAGAAAAAAGATTGCTGAGTTGTTGAAAGAAATGATTTAGTCTAAGAAAGAAATAAGCTTGGCACAGAAGCATGATGCAAGAAAGCTGCAATGGAAAAGTCAATTTGCACATCTAAAACCTGATCATAGAGCTCATAGACCTTTTGTAGCAGCTGTCACTGTACGCATCACAATGATAGAAGTCGCTGACTCACAGATGAGGTGTGGCAGCAGTCAGAGTTTCATGTTTGATATGTTCCAACAAAGACCTTACTAAGTTTCCCTTTGTAATGGCTCAAAGATTAATAGTAACCCAGTTAAAAATGCTTTTTTTAACAAGCCCATGTGAACCTTGCCTAAATGGAAGCATGGTGTGCTGCAGATTAGTAAGATATCGGTTAATTTGTGATGGTTTTTAATGACTCTGCTTGATGTTCTTTCTGTGCTTTGTTTTTTTTTTTTTATGATTTTATGGCCTCACCTTACACCACTGAGCCGTGTTTGTCTTAAATTCATTTCTCAGTTGTCTGTATGGTCTTTTTTTCCTTTTCTGTATCTTGAGCTGGTTTGTGACATAAATGGAGATCAAACATAAATATTTAGCCGACTGAATGGGGTAAAATCTGAACAAATATGAAGTGTTAACATTCCCCCTACTTGCACTAACAGATTAACCACAGGCTAAGCAAAGCGGTCATCTAAACAATTGTGACATGTAATAAAAAACGTGATGATCAGTTCTGGTTTGACTAGGAAAATAGGTAATCAGGCAGCATGGCCACCCACTGGTGGTATGATGTTCATGGATATTTGCCCTTTAGGAACTATACACTTCCCTGCACAGGTTTTCCTTCCCTTATCAAATCTAATGAGTGAAATCCAGTAAGGTATCAAAGGTTGTGGTGTAAATGGATTCACAGGAAGCTGTCTGGAATTGATTTCATGCACCTAAAATGAAAGAGCAAGAGTTTAATGAGACATGTAACACCTCTGAGAGTGAACGGTGAGCAACTGACTAAAATGGGAAAAAAACACATAGTTGCCACTTGGTCGTCATGGCTTCCTACTTTAGTACTCGAGGAAGTGTTTTCAAACCGGTAATCCACATACTCAGATTACTTCATGCCTGAGGATTATCAGTGATGCTTTACCTAACCTCAAATAAAGCTTTCACTGCTTTTTTGTATCCTTGCTTGTTTCACAGCAGGTAATTTAACAGTGTATGTCTGCATGAAAGAGCCATTTCTGTAAGTCAAGGCATGAAGGCGAGTGTTGTAAAAAATAATGGCTTCAACACTGCATGGATGTCAATTCCATCTTAATGATCTAAGGCTCCGTTATCACAGTGTTGACGTTTCAGATTAGGGTTGAGTCCAGCGTTGAATATTGTAAATAACAATACAAGTCAGTCTTCACTCTTGCTGTCCTTGAAACCTGACATGATCTGGGCAGACTACTATATTTGAAATTTTTGCTCAGCTAGATTGATAGCTAGCTAGCTAGCTAGATAAGTTAATTAGTGATAATAAATTGGTCATAGGTGTATATTGTGAGCATGTACAGTTGTGTTGGCCCTGTGACAGATTGGTGACATGTCCAGAGTGTACCCTGCTTCTCACTCTATGACATCTGGCTGCCCATATCACCACTCCATCCCAAATCCTTGACTCAGATAAGCAGAAGAAAATGGAGGGAAATTGCTCTAACCAATCTAACAAATGTGCTG